TCTCTGCAGGATGAGTGGCCAAGTTCAGCCCCAGGGTTGGGTCTCCTGGCACGGGGGCTGGCATCCTGATTTAAACACAGCTGCTGTATGTGATTATCTGCCAGAGCATGAGCAGCTCCCAATGTTGTTTTCATTTCCCATTTCCCTGCCGCATGGAGAAGAGAGGTCTCCACTGCCCCAAGCACAGGCCTCTGTATGCAGAGGAGAGAGCTCCCAGTCCAGGGCCGCATTTCCATGCAGGTTCCCACAGGACCCTCTTCCCTGTATGGATCCACAAGGAAAGGATGTGTAAGGGTCTAGACCTCTGGTCCTCCCTGCTCTCCTGTAGGAGGATTTCTTGTCTGTCCTAAGAGCCTCAGGTGATAAAGGAGTGCCAATGGTGGACACCAGCATGCACCTGCCTGGGCTGCTAGACCCAGCAACCCGACCTCTAAAGTGCTGAGCACCGGAGGCTGCTGTTAAATGCTGGGTTCATTGCAGCTACTTGGCATTTGGGAAAATCAGAGCCGGGGATTGCTAAGACTCCAGTTCGGTTGCATCAATGGCAGCCAGAAAGGCTGGGTGTGATTTAGGAGTCAGACAAGGAGTCACTTCAGAGGCAGCTCAGAACATGCTGAGTGTCTCTTGCTAGGGTTTGGTCTCTGTGCCCTGGGGTTTACCTTTTGCCCTATTCCCCCAGGTCTTAGAAGCAGGAGGTGGGTAGTGAAGGACTCACTTAACAGAGGCAGAATAGCACTAAAAATGAATGAATCCCCTTGTCCTCCAAGGCTGCTGCAGGCCACAGCCTTAAAGAAAGCGCACAAGCCCCCACCAAACCAGCTCAGGGTGATGCCCCTGCCTGTATAGAGGTGGCTATCCCCGCAGCCCATCTGCTCTCAGACAGGCTTGGACAGCCAAAGACCAACTGAACAAGTTTCCAGAGGCGGCCTGGAGCCGTCAGACTTCTCCACTGGGTTCTCTACAGCTGCCATACCTCATCTGGGCATGTGGGGAAGGGAGAAGGGAGCAGAGCTGAGCTGCCACCCCAGGGCTTGAAAAGCAATCATCCCTGGGGTTTGCTCAGAAACGGTCTGCATATAAACCCAAGTCTTGATCGGAGGGCCCCGTGTCAACAAAGCCTTACGCAGGATTGAAACTTGAATCTATTCCAGGGCTCCCTGGAGTCTCTGAGCTCTGGAAAACCTTTTGTCTCAGCCAGGATTGAGTGTACCGCTTTATACTTTCCACGTAGGCTGGAGCCCATGGCCCCCTGTAAGCCTGTTCCATAGGATGCACTTTGCTTTTCCCTCTGTGCCAGGCTCCAGCGGTGGTTCAAGAGTGAGATTCCCATTTGGAGAGTTTGCTCAGTCGGAGGGAGGCTGGATCACATAGCAACATAAACCTCCTTAGAGCTGCTCTAGAAACCGGGGAGCAGTATCCCTAAGCTGTGTGTATTCCCTCTTGCTGCTCCATGACACCATGACTCGACTGGGGCTTGCTCCAGCTCTCTATGGCTTAGATTTGTATCTGATTTTTGGAGAACCCTTACTGCTCCCCAAGCCACCTCTTCTGTTTCACCCTCTGCAGGTCGGGCCCGCTGAGGGGGAAGAGGCTGAGAGATCGAAGGGCGCTGTTTTAAATGCTGCGCTCTGAACAGAGAATTGAGCAGGGCAAGGACAAAGAGGCTGTTGCATATCATAGCGGGGAACCTCTGGGTTTACTGCATGTCTCCAGCTCCAGTCACTGCCCTGTGCAGGTGCTAGCCCCTTACTGAGCACACGTATAGCTGCGCAATCCTTGGGGAGGATTGGCTGGGAGAAAGCTGGTGGGGCAGCAGTCATTAAGGAATGAGGTGCTTTCTAGGGGCCAAGACTTCTTTGGGTCCTTGTCTCTGTCCTGGGCTCCCCTTAGCTCTGGTCAGTGCTTTGCACTGGTCTAGGCATGCAGGACATGCAGAGCAGTGTCAGAACATCCACTCTGCATTTGTTCAGCCTCCTGGCATGATTTCAGTGTGGAGGCGGTTCGTGACTCTCCGCCGGTATAAAAGGAATGAGCATTGACTCGGAGCTCCAAATGCCCCGAATCCACCTTTTCCCCAGCTATGGGGCAGCGAGTTTGTGAACGAATCACCACCTGTGGGGACTGGCCTTTTGAAAGCAGGGTAATAAGGATCAGAATTTGGTTTCCTCCTGAGCTGAGGGCAGCGGGTAGGATTTCAGTCCAAACCTGCCCATGATTATAAGGTGATCATCACCCCAGTTGAATTTAGGCTTGCGATAGCAGCCTCGTCGCTGGATGCGAGGACTTTCAGGGCTCTTCATCTTTCCTGAAGGAGTCGCTTGTTAGCTCTGCTTTCAAATGCTTGGGAAGGCCTGGAATACCTCGGCTAGTCTCATGGGTTAATCATCAAGGCAGCACTGTCCATTTGACCAGGCTGGAGACTTTTAGGGGTGTACAGCCACCATTCTCCATCCCCAGCTTCTTTCGTGGGCTGAGCCAGGAGCTGTGTAGCGCCCGTTGCTTGCTATGGGACTGAGGGCGCTCGCAGGACTGGGCCTTAATAGAGCCAAAGTAATGGGGTTTTTTTCCCAAAGGAGAGTCTAGAAAGTGCCTGGTGAAATGCTGGCGGTGGTCCTGGTAGCTTCTTGCTCAAGAGGGTGATGCTTTGAGAAGGTCAATGGTCAAGTGGCATTGCTTGATAAAGCACAACCACTGCAATCCAGCTATGCTGGAGGAATTTGTGTCTGTTGGCAGGGGACCAGCACTCGCTTCCTGTTCCATGTTGCTTTGGTGAGCATACGTATTTGTCTATGGAGAGTTGAGGGGTGTCCAGGGTAGATGCACTGTGCTCCAGACACCATCACACCACATCCACCTGCTTGACCTCAGGCTGAGGGAGTTGCTTTGTGCAGCCACTGGTGCAGACATGCTCCGGTGATGGGAACACTGGGGGAGGAAATCAGGGATGTAACCACAGGGACACAAGAGACTCAAGTGCCTTACCCCTGGGGTGACAGACCATGCCAGGCCAGCAATGGCCACATGCTACTCCCGGTGTTACTCTGTTTAGCCCATGTGTCCTAGCAGAAATGTAAGCAGGATTTGTTTCCTTCACTCCAAGAAATGGAAGGAAACCCCCCACTAGTGGCTCTGGTGCCATGTGCATCTTTCCCCAGAGGAGCTGGAGTGGGGGCTGGGTGGGCAGGTGGTTACTAGAAACATCTCACAGGATACAGGGACTGTGCCCAGTGGTTGAAAAGTGTGGGGAGGGCTGCAGAAACTCACCCTGGTGGGGCTCTCTGCTGTGAATCTCAATGAGAAAGCAAGCCCGCACTGCATTGTGCTAGGAGGGAGAGCGAGAGAAGAGATGGGCCCAAGCCACAGCCATGGGATCTGGAGTCTGTAGCCCATCTCTGCTCATGAGGGGGAGCTGAAACATGGTGCTGGATTGCTGCTTCTTCCCCATGTGCTTCTGTGTGTCCTTGCCATGTCCTGACTGCTTTGGATTCTTGCCACCTGGCAAAGCCTCAGGCGCTTGGTGGGTCAGGGATGGTAGAGGGAGGCGTGGTCTAAGCTCAGACCAGGGAGGCAGGGCCTTCCCGATCCCATTGCCCCTTCTGCCAGTGACTCAGTCTGTGGCCTTGAGTGAGTCATTTATCTGTTCTGTGCCTCAGTTTCCCCAGGGTAACAGGGGAGAGTGACACTGACCTACCTCACAGGGGTGATGTGGAGACAGATGGCTAATGCACTCTGGAAGTGCCCCAGGCTTTCAAAGCACTGAGGACTTTGATTGTGAATGAGCCTGAAGTTGCCTTTAAAATAGGTGGTCCGTTCCTGGATGTTGGTTGGACTCTCGGAGCTGCCTCTGAGGGTGTCAGGTCAAGCACAAGGTGGCTTTCCTCCTTTCCCTTCTTTAGCTAAATGCCATAGGGAAAGAGAGGGGCGTATCGTAGATCCCAGCCCCTGATTTCCTCTGCTGGGCAAATACACCGAGTGACCCCCCAGCTGGCAGAATTTGCACCG